AATGGCGGTCATTTCACAATAATATTATCACAGTTAAAAGTCTCGAAATTCTCCGAATACAATTAATAAATACGAGCAGTTTGTTAAGCAAAGGAGATTCTTGAGTCAAAACGAAAGTATACAAAGTTGAGCTTTATATTAACTCATCAAGAGTCACTTTCACGCATACGATATATGAATCTAAACATCCCCTTGCTTAAATTAATAATTCCGAATTATTCTAAGAACAAAATAGTTAATGTTAAAGAAATAACTTTGTATTTGGTTTATCTATGTGAAAAATTAATAGAATGTTATATACCCCTCTCTTACTCCCTTTGATATAGGTATATATAAAGGAATAGAAATAAAAATTTCTATAATGTTCCTATTATGCATGTGTATTTTAAGTATGTATGTATAATAAATCCTAAATCCCCGGAATGCAGTAAAATAAAAATGACCTAAACATACTTTTTATATTTCTTCACCTTTTTAACAAATAAAATACACAATGGTATTATATATTATAGAAAAATACTTTGCAAATTTTACCATCTCATTTGTCAGGATTCGAACACTAACCGAACAACTGCTATGATTGAAGCTAGCGAATCTGTTATTTTACAATTATGCTAAAAAATAGATTAGCAATTGCACTCGTCGTCTAACGCAGAGCCGTCATTCCAAAGAAATTCAATGAAACTAGATCTTTATTACATTTTGAAGCTGGTTTTATTTTATTAAAACTCTGATAGGGCACATCGCTACGCTCAACAGCACGTTCAAGGCCGATTTCACAAGATAGTAACACTGCTAGTGAGCACAATTCAATCAATGTTAAGATCGACCTAAATCGAAAGATATATTTAAATACATATACATAATAATAATAAATTATAAAGTGCATACTAAGACCAAAATTCCAATACAAGTTCTTAAGTCCATAACATACAAATCCTTGAGCTCTACCATAAGACTAGAACAATAAATTAATTTAGTTATAATAATACAAAAATTTACAGAACTATTTTTTTCTAGTCAATTATAGAAAAGCATTTCATAATATTGAAATATGTGTCGCCGTCTATTCAAAAGCGAAGTCAAGTCCAATTGGTACACATCATAATTATTACAAATGGTGTCTACACTGAATTTTCAACTTAGCAATAAACAGATCAAGGCTCAAAATACTTTTGGCTCTTTTTGAGGCCTAATTCTGCTAACATGGTAATGTACCGCAACTTTACACTTTAATGACATATTTTTGACACAGTACTTCTTACAAAATAACAAATATGTATGTCACTTTTGATTCGTGAAGACATTGCACTAATAATATTGGGCTTCAGGTAGATAGTACAATGGCATTAGCAAGTAATTGAGACTCCACTGAAATGCAGTTATTACGTTAGCAGAATTAAGGTCAATATAGGTCTGTTGTGTGAATACTATAATTTAACTAATTAAAATAACCGATTAACATTAATATACTTTGAAATTAAATGTTATATATTGGTTTATTTACATGGGTGTACATTACAAACGTATTGTAATTTAAAGTCGTTATGTTATCTGAAATTCCATTAATCGAAAAACGTATTATATAATTGAATACCTCAATATTTCTACGATTACGAACATTTATGTCCTGAGATCTAATCGATTATTTTTACTATCAATTGGGTCAGTCTAATTGAAAACGTACATAAGGAAATTATGGAAAATATGGAAAAATATATATATATTACGCTGACGTTATTGGAGCATACCGTGTAAAATTAGATTTAAGTCAAAATTGCGACAAATACATATAAAAAAGTAAATATTCGCACTCCCGGTGCGACACTGTCACTTATGCAAAAATTTAGTTTTTCAGGAGAAGAGTTTTAAACTCTGCCACATCACAAAACAATGACTTTAGAAGATACAGATGAGATGAATCATACGGAACACAGTTCCGTATGATTCATCTACAAAAGTAACATTATCGCACCAAGTAAAGGGGGCTTTAGGACAATTATTACATATTTAACTAATTTTTGTATTTTTTGCAAAAGTGACAGTGTCGCACCGAGGGTGCGAATGTACTTTTATTAATTTACGGCATCTGATAATAATGCATTTTTCTAACAACATAGAACTTCCACAAACTTGAAATTACAACACGTTTCCAATCATATCGGTAATTAAAATAACCCATTGGCAAGATTACAATCTATTTGGCAAGCCATAGTAAAAGCTTATGTTTTGGGCCCCACTTCAGCTCGCAACTTCATACAATTTTCTTTAATACCGGAATGTTCAAACTGTATCCTACTTATTTACTAGCACCACTGCCTTTCGTTTGTCATATATACGCAATTGTATTAATTCCATAATATAAATGCATAAAAATTTTGTGTAATTGGTGAAAATAGTCTCTAATTTAATAAACCAACATTTTTGGCAAACCATATAAAAATATATAAGTCAGCCAAGAAAGATAAAAATATAATTGGTCAAAAATGATAAAAGTTGGTATACCACATTTTACCATTTACCATAATGTAGCATTACAAAAACATAACCTTTGGCAGCTGTATTTAAAATAACATGTTTCATTTATTTATAACATTGATTTCCTAACACCCGACAAGGAAAAAATAAAACTATGAGATAACATACAAAAAAATGTTTTTTTTTAAATAAGATTCAACCGTTACCACAAACACCCATGGTCGAAACAAACATCAGCACATAATAAAATCAACCCCCAAGACCATTACAATATAAATATATAATGAAGAATTATTACTCTTAGAACATGTAAATGGAACCACAATTGCATACTTAATGACCTCATCTAACAAACTAAAGGCCAAAGTAATAGGCTAGTCAACATCGAACCGACTAAACTCCATTTGAACTAGTTTTTTTTATGCCATATAACCATCGAAATATTATAATGTATAGAAAAACTATTTGGATATAAACAAGTTACATTATACACTGGGCATAGTTATCTAATACGGTGATTTAATTTTGCTTCCAACGAATTAGTTACAGATATTTTTACATCTGGTAGTTAAAGGTTTAGACTTTTTTTTGAGAATACTAGACAACCAAACCAGCTACGTAAAACAAACACCGGAGCATGAAATGAAATTACCTCTTTTAACTATCACTTAACTGGCCACTTCACCTAAATAAATCAAATACTTGAACGCTAATTTCATGCTATTTGTAAGATAAGGTAACATTTCAAAACAGACCAGTTAACAGAAAGTATTTAAAGTAACTTTAAATGCACATTAGAGATTATTTTAAACAAATTTCATTTTTTCTGTAATTGAAAACAACTTTGTATAGCAAGTTTTCTTAATATCTATTTAAACGTAATGGGTTTAATGAAAGATACCGTCGCTTAAAATATTTGTAACTATTTTGTTAGCCCCTTATTCATTTTGCGATCAAACTTATAAAAAAAATACTGCCCGAAAACAAGTTGAATAAATTATATAATAACGCCATCTCTTGATAGTAAAACTATTTATGTATTTCTACCAGGGTTCGGTAAAATCCGTTTTATTTGATATTTATCCGATATATATCGCATAAGAAAAGCTGCTATTTTTAAGCTTTTATATTTAATATTTTAAATCAAAACTGTAAAATAAAGACAGTGTTTGATTTATTTAATATTTGTTTATCTATTATAAAATAATTAAAAAATAGTATGCGTGCGAGGATTCCTAGTAACGTATAGGGGAAAATCCGATATCACTAGTAAGTAAGATTGCTACATCGAACCAATTATGCCAGCGTCGCATCGGATTGGTTAATTGCCTAGCTGATATTTATAGTATTTATTGTTATTTTGAACTAACGATAAATACTATATAGATATTTATCAGCGAACCCTGATTTCTACACTAATTACAATATCTCGATTTGTCAGTCGACAATAATATCGAAATGGAACAGACTAGTTTACACTTACTTTTTGGCCTTTGGCAATTATTTTCAACTTAATATTAATGTGTTTGACACTATCAGTATGACGTAGAGAATGCCTCATAGACACTTATCGAAACGATTTCCTACACATATTTACACATCACATATATTACGCCCAAAATGGTTTTTGCAATATATCATACATTATCGATGGACACATAATCATATTTTTTTCAGACACCAATATATTTTGATACAATAAAAAACAAAACGTACAATTTGAAAAAATCTCAGCTAAGTAAATAGCATTTTCACAATTGACGATCTTTTAAATTCATTTGAACTTCAAAGTGTTAAAGTTCAAGTTCAAAATCGGAAAGCGGAATTAGTCATAGTATCTTAATCTGACGCTGATGCAGTTTGAATATTATTTACTAGAAAATTAATATATTTTTCTTTTAACCAATTGAGGTTCTATTTATATAAAAAAGTATTGTTTAATAGAAGTATATATGTTACGCTTAATGATCGAAATCGCTTATTGAGCGAATAATTAATTCACAACGCGTTGTGGCTATAGCAGATGAACCACAAAGCGTATTCGTGTTATGGCTCTTATATAGCGAAATGCGTGCGTGGCTGACATGTTATTCGACCACAACGCGTTGTGCCAAAAAAGAAAACCTACGACGCGCACTGAGCATTAACTGGTTTCCTGGTGCCTACAAAAAAATTAGACTCATAACGACTCATCAGTAGTCGATCCACACCGCTTCTCAAAATGGTCAGACTAACGATCAACAAACAAGGGAAAATAATATTTTAATGAATTTATTCACATATCCCTAAAAACATATATTTTTTTTTTTAATTGGAAATAAATCTGCAGTTTTGTTCTTTATTTGTTGTATATATATGGATTATTAAAATGACATTTAAAAATGTTCATGTATCGGAAATTGTACTGAATATATTATTTTTAATATGCGGTTAAAATTTTAATTGAATAATGATGATCTAATATTTTTGTTATGTTGAGCGTTCTATGTGGTAACTCACTGTGTATTACTTATATGATGACGCTAACTGAATACTGTTTCGTTGGGCACGTCCGTCGGTGTCGAGCTCTGAGCTATGTCTGTCAGTATCACGCCAGATAGCGCCTCTAGAGATTGCCGTACCTGGAGTGGGGGTAAGAATGATATACAGGGTTAGTTGTAACGTACCTAACAACTTCGTAGAACTGGATATCTGACATCTATGACTACGACTTTAAATAATGAAATTATAAAATCTATGACTTTTAATAATTACACTTGATTTAGCTTCTTGATTTGTGATATGAGCAATGTATGAAATATTGTGTAATATCCATTTATTTACCGTCTAAGTTCTTTTATATTTATAGAACAAACCTTAGTAAGCAGTAGTAGATTGGTGGACAGAAATGCATGGAGTTCCCCGGCGGCACGTCCATGGAGTCGCGTCCGCCACTGAACCAACTCCGAATATAACTCGTCACCGGACAAATGACTTAATTCGTCCTAAAAAAAATCGTATGAGAATAAAAAACGAGTATCTAAGGGGGTGTTTGAAAGTGGCACCAGCAGTGCTATTCTGCTGGTGCCACTTTCAAACGAACTCGAATCAAATAAAGCTTACTTCAAAAGTTATTAAAGGTTTTATTTTATTGAAGTTCTATACTGTGACAGCGCTGTATTTGACGTCCAGTTTTAGGCTGTTTTGTTTTACAGAATAGCATAACAAACAGTACGGGAATATTTTGTAAAATGAATGTAAATGAGAGGATGATTAATCTGAAATAAAATCATCGATGACTGGAGAACAAAAAGCAAGGCAAAGAAAAAATGGATAGACCGTGTGGGGAATGATACAAAATGCAAAGACAGGTTTACATGGAGACAGTTACTGCCGCCACTGGTGGCGCTTAAACTAATCGAATTTTTACATGTTAAATAACGTTTATACTCGTAGTAGTTCGGTGGCGTAGTGGATAAGCACCGCGGCCCACGATCGTTGTAGTTAAGCAACTTTCGCAATGGTCGGCTACGGTATGGGTGACCGAAAAAAAATATTATCACGAGCTGCTCCGTGCTTCGGAAGGCACGTTAAGCCGTTGATCCCGGCTGCATTTGCAGTCATTAATACCCTCCAATCCGCAGTGGAGGGCTATGGCCTATCCTCCTTAACCATCCATAAGGAAGGCCTGAGCTCCTGCAGTGGAGACGTAAAAGGACTGATGATGATAAAGAACGTTTTTGCGTCTCACCTGCCTCGATTTCAGAATTACTGATATCATGTAACCACTTTTAGGATGTGAACGATAAGATATCTGGTAGGAAAAACCCAAAGGAAATGATGATATATATGACTACATTTTAATGGTATCGTTGGAAAAAAAAGGTAAAGAGAAATCTAATCGCACTTGTTTTATTAAAAATAATTTATTTCTACAACAAAAACACGATCCGAAGGATTAAAGGAATATAAAAAAAAATACTTACGTCGGTCCTCATCGTAATATGGTATAGTTTGTATGCGAGGAAGGAGGCGGATATTGTAAGTAGTGCAGTCATAAATATCATGAGCGGTCTCCACCATTCGTATGTTGAATGTTCTTGTTTCTTAGGTGCCGCACTGCCCGTTAACAAAGCCGGTTGGATTACAGCCGCGCCTGTAAATAATAATATAACATTTATTAGACTAGTTTTTCGCCAGCGGCTTCGCCCGCGTGGACTCTAGGGAACAGTTGAATTGGATATGACAATGGTTATGGATATGACATGACAATGAGAAATTGAATAGTAAACAATAGTTACTATGGCAACGTTTTAATTTCCGAAACAAATTTTCACTCTTTATTTCATCCCTTTATTTTCTGTTTTTCGAGATAAACATAGCCTATGTTCACCGCATATAATGTTGCTTCCCGTAAGTGTTCTTTTTTTTAATCTGTTCAGTAATTTCGAAGCAGCATATACGATGCGAACAAACAAATAATCAAATCTTTCCTCTTTATAACATAAGTATACATAGTATAAACAACATCACCACAGATTAAGTACAGTACGCAATCTACATACAAAGTGCGCTCACACACATAGACTACGCTCACGTACACGATATCTTGGACCATTTCAGACCAGCAGAGCGATTCTGTAAAAATCCGAACCTGAACTCGAATTCACTCATGTGTCGGGAACAACGGGAACCCTATTACTAAGACTTCGCTGTCTGTATGTCTGTCACCAGGCTGTATCTCATGAACCATGAAAGGTAGACATTTGAAATTTTCACAGATGATGTGTTTCTGTTGGCGCTTCAACCACAATTCATTATATAAAGTGGGTACTAACCAGCAGCTATGATGGCTTCAGACTCCCTCCTAACGGTTGGGGTGGGAGCATCCACGTGGTCGCCACCTGCTGAAGAACTGTCATCCTCCGGAGAGTACTCGGACGCGTCCAATTCCACCTCTGACGCCCTCAGATCCTTAACAAAGGTAATACATAAATAAATAAAAATGTTACAATCAATATTGACCCTAATGCATTATCGGTTAAGTTTAAACTCGATTGCGGTGATACTTTGTGGTAATATCTTTTTACTTATACAGGGTCAGTTTTTAAGTAGTGTCTTTTTGAGCTTTCTATTTGGTATTGTTCATATACCGAACATATTTTAAATAAAACATATATATATATTTTTTGTAATTTCATATGTAATAGTAACATGTATATGTATTCTGGTATTTTGTTATGCATTTAATAAAATATAATACTGTCACAGTCACATGACAGTATTTTAGGGGCTAAGGCCCACTGCCAATGCAGGCTTAACGTGCTTCCGAAGCACGGAAGGCACGTTAGGAGCTTGAGATAATATGTATTCGATCACCCATTCCGTGACCGAACCTTGCGAAACTTGCTTAAAAACAACGATCACGGCGGTGCTTATCCACTATGCCATCGAGTTACTCAATAATACTGTATATGGCAAAAAATCTATGGAAAATAGTAAGCCAAAAATACAATTTTTCTCTCATTACTGCTATAATTTACAAAAATAAATATTAAAATTTGAACACCGATTATGAACACCCCTGTTTTATATAATTTACCTGAGGCTTGGGGGTAGTTAGTTCGGGCGCCCTGGCCGCCTTCCATACGTGCATCATCAGCTTGTAGGTGGAGTCGCGCGACAACAGCGAACCGAACACGTGTCTCTCATCCCTGGTACAAACGCCCACAGCGTTAGGTATTATCCTAGCCACCTTCTCTTTCGTTATCCTCAGGACGGATGTAGTCGGAATGAGTAACTGGAACAAAACGTTATTGTTCATAGATTTTATATTCACACTAAATATATTTATATGACAAAAATCCGGGCGAGTGCGATTCGGACAGGCGCACGAAAGGTATCGTACCATCTATGAAAAACCAAAAAATTATGTTGGTTTTATGGGAACTTAAACCAGAAAAAAAATATTTTAGGTTATAATATTATCACTATTAATATTTATCACAGTTCATGAAAGGTTGACAGATGGACGGACTGCGGACTCCCTATTACGGAGCCCTAAAAATGTTGGAAAAATTCACCAGCCCCAAGTAGGTACCCCGAGATGGGACTCGAATCGATAACCTTTCGCAATTCAGACGACTGCTTCCGCTCGGATTCATCAGCCATTAATTGCTTGAAATAAATAAGTTACAAGCGAGTAAGCTTTTCAATACGTAGTATATAACAAAGTTGCTTTCTGTCCGTCTCTCCATATGAATTCTTAGATGTTTAAAACTACGTGATGGATTTTTATGCGGTTTTTTTTTAATATATAGGGTGATTAAAAAGGATGATTTTTATGTATAATACAGAACCGCGTGGGCGAAGCAGCTAAGGGAAAACGAAAAAAGAATGTCTGACGCAGGTACATTATTATTTCTCTACAAAATAAAATCGTCAGATTTTTATCTATTGCCTTTGAACCTACAAACATTAGATAATCACGTTTTATTGGTAATGAAACTCCCACTGTTTTTAAGCACCGTTGCTTTAATACTGTTATTATTCATACGGAAATACGTGCATTTTTTCGTTTCATTCGTTTAAATAATTACCATTATTAATTATACGGCATTCATTCATTTGTTCCTTTTTAACAATAATTTCAGCTGTACTGATATTATTAAATGATGAAGTTTCTTATTTTGTTTGCAGTTTGTTTTATTTATAGGGGGTAATCTTCAGAAATACTAATCCGAACATGAAAATTCAATTCTTTCACCTACGGGCATCTATCTCATTTACGCGGGCGAAGTTTTCTCATAAGTGAAAAAATAATTAATATAGGTCCATCTTTCCTCTTTATAATATAAGTATAGATAATAATCCGACAATAATAAATAGGTAATATCCCGAAAACGCACTTGACCGTTTACCTAATTTAGACTTGTGATAGACTCATAGTAGGTACTGTAACGTCCGAGCACATTACTATAGGCAGGTTTACTCTTCGAACGGTTTATGGTCATGTGCTTGCCGTTAATATTTCAAATTATTACTTTTCGCATTCGAATTCGCGTGTTCATGTTTTGCTGGTTGTCAATCTTTCCTTTCTGATCGAGACCAGCTTAGAGTGAGTATCATAGTTTTGGTTGTAAGTGCGCTAATGTAATACTAATTGAAAATAAATCAAGACTAAGGAGTTTTACCAGTTTTTTATTGAGCCACCCACCTCCACCATTAAACTAAGTTGCTGGAGTACCTACCTATTATATATCGTGTATTTTGTAGTGTCAATGTTCTGTAAAGACAATTTGGGTCAAGGAACGGCCAGTTAATGTACTTAGTCCCTAATCCATTTTATTTAGGTAGAATCACGTGGCACATCACGTGGTTAATCAATCGTTCAATGATACGCGTAACGGTCAATGTATTGTCGAATGCTATTTATTTATTTGGAACACCCAATTTTATTTTCCTGGTAACTATTTTCATTGAACATTCGTCAGAGACACTAGCATACAGTAATTAGTACTTTTCACAAAGGCTGATCGTCACTATCGGTAACCAAAAATTTGTTATCTTAAAATATTATCTGAACGTGGTAACTGAACGACACGTAAGGATCGCTATCCATAGACCAATTTTTTTTGGTTCAATTTTCCAATCCTACAGGGGAGGGGAAGGCAAAGGGTGCTTAGCCCATACAGCCTTGACATTTGTAATTATATTTTTAAATTCTGTATGGATCCCGTAAAGTACTGCCGATTATTGTACACATGGCGCCGCTTATAAGTTTGCCGCCATATTCCAAAATACAAAAGCCTGACTCTGAACTGTATTGACCCGGACATTTTGCCATAAACTGGACTTTGCTTTCTTTAATAGTCAAACATCACTTTCATAAATCTAGATAAAGTTTTTGTAATTTATAATTTATTTTAATAGGAATAGACTATGTACGGTTGTTTTTCGATGGAGAAAGTCAATGCGTTTACAGTGAAAAGAGTTATTAACTAATGCCGAACATTTAAAGTATTTTTCATATTAAAACTATAAGAACACTGCAGAGAGACAAAAAGTCTACAACAATATAGGATATCAATCAATAACAGCTGTATGATAGATAATTATTATCTCTAAGATAGTTGTTATGGATATCTGTTAACACCTGCGGGAATATAAAACATGAGTAAAAAGTTACGTTAATACGAGATGCTTCATTACATAGTATAAAACAAAGTCGCTTTCTCTTTCCCTATATGCCTATGTAAATTTAAATCTTTAAAGCAATGGATTTTGATACGGTTTTTTTTTTCATAGATAGGGTGATTGAAAAGGAAGGTTTTTTATGTATAATACAAGAACACGTGGGCCAAGCCGCTGGCGGAAAACTAGTCCAGAATAAAACTGGCGTCCTCTTAAACGTAACCACCATGCTTTGTGGCTGTGTTCTTTCTGCTTACCCTGCAAGGGATCAAGGCCTCAAGTTCGCTAATGTTTACGTAATAATAGCATCGCAATAGAATCCCAAGTACTTACGTAAACACTAGCAGAATTGCCCGTGTGTTGGCGTGTGTGTCATACTAAGCAGCGAAAAAAATCTACAGATGCCACACTTCAGTTTTCCTATTAATACTTAATCTTAAAGGAAAATGCTTAAAAATCCACTTTGTCCCTGATACTCTGAGATGGGATATCAGAGTGTCAGGAACAGTAATTTTCTGTTAACATTGGGTATACAAAACTGTAACAGTGTAACTGATAGAACTTTATACGTTCACAAAGAAAGCAATTAACAACAACGAATCTGATTCAGTGAAGACTATATACAACCCTGCCTTCGCAATAACACCCTTCGCTTAATGAAACTACGCCAACATGAATAATTCGAACTATAAACAGTGCTCACAATGTTTGAAATAACCAAACGTGACATTGGAAAATAAACCCGACTAATATCTTTGACTATCAAATAGGCAGTGAAACTACAGAACCTATTTGAAAAATTCTTTCAACTACCGGAAACTACATCATATGCAAGTGACACAGGCTATATATAATTTAGATGCATTAGCAGGAAAACACTTATGAAAACGAGATTTATTGGTAAGTGTATAAATCAATGAGGGTAGTATACACAAACGATTTTGATAAAAATATAAATCTAAGTGTATTTATCCAAATAGGAAGAAATTAGATGGCATTTACCTAGTACCTTCCACAGTAGATCATGTTATGCCCTAAAAATATTTGTAATGAGTAGATCATCTACGTACATATACCTCACTTTGATTACCGTTGTTACTAGAAAAATGTATGGTAATAAAGTTAATTAATCAAATATTAGTCTAGTTATGAGTATACTTATCATATGACAAAAGGGTCATGTACTCTCGTAGCAACACAATGAGCTTCTGAGCGTCATCTGACACATGTATGTATCTGATAAAAGGTCAAAGGTATCCTTTGTCACGAGTCTGAGCGTAACTGGCATTCAATAACCTTTATCTTGAAACATGGCTGTGTATTATATTCCATTGATATCACGGATACATTAACACTTTCATTTTAGTTTCATAAAGAAAAGTAGTTTTGAGATATTTAAGCTAATTTATATAAAAGAGTATGCATAGTGAACTACCGTCAAGAAATCCTGCTATACTTAATATAGACTTAACAGTTCTCATATTTTATTAGGAACATATGAGTTGTAATGTAGTAATAAAATATTTTGCAAAAAGGAGTGAATATTATCATTTGAAAAATATTAATAAGGGATTATCAGTTGGCTGTACACGAACAGAACCCTTTACATTCTTAAATATAGTTGCCATTGACGCAAAATTAAACATTAAAATGTCGAGCAAGAGAGGGAAAAGAATCAGTGGCTTACCTTGGTCACATATCCAAAGACATTGGAATAAAAAGCGAAGTAATTCTTCGTGATGTACAGGTGTCCTTGCAACAATAAATCGCCCACTAACGCACAAGAGTAATCTGAAAAATTAAAACGAACCTTATTAAATAGCACTTAAGATTAATGGCAATCGAATTATACAATAAAACAGTTTCAACCTTTATAACTGAGAGTGCGTGAATAAATTAATAAATAAATAATATCGGACAACATCACACACATTGATCCGATTCCGAGGTAAGTAGCTTAGGCACTTTTGTGACGGATATCGGAAACAACGGGGGTAATACAAATATATACATAATATAAATAGAAAACACCCAGATACAGAACAGATATAATTATTATTCACAAAAATGTTCGGCTCGAACCCACGACTCTCGGCGCAATAGTAGGAACGCTACCACCGCGCCATTGAGACCGTCAATATTAGAGACAATGGTGTTTATATTATGACATATTAAATCATTCTATCAAGGTTAGGAAAAATATAAGTACTGTCTACTATAATCATTAAAAATAACCCTTTATTGGATACAAATTTACAATATTATAATAATCAGGTACAGATATTTGACTCTACGAAACAGGTACAATATTACGTATCTTGTTATTTCTAAACGTCCTCTTATATTTGATACTGTCATTCGCCAAAGTTAAATACATCAAACTTAAGTTCGCCAAACAAGGCCTAACTTATATTTACGAATAGAAAAAAATAATACGTCACTCATAATCTACAAAACCTTGGCCATTAAAACGGATTTTGAACGGAGTTAACGATGTATATGGCGGTTGTGTCGCAAAAATAAACAGAGTGCGTTTTTGGTTCCAACGTTTTCATTCTGGAAATTTCGACCTGCAGAACAAGCCCCGTGGACGGCCGCAGACCCAAGTTAATAATGAAGAATAGAAGGTTATTGTGGAAGCGGATCCATCGCAAACCACGTCCGAGTTAGCTGCAGGCTGTGATGTTAGTGATAAAATTATGTTTTAATCCAATTGAAGCAAATTGGAAAGATTAAAAAGCTTGAAAGATGTGTACCTCACGAACTGAGTGAAGCAAACCAGCAAACGCGCTTCGACTGCTGCATTACATTACTTAACCGGCACAATAATGAAGGGTTTTTAAATCGGACATTACCTGTGGTGAAAAGTGCATTCTCTATGATGATCAGAAGCGCTCATCGTAATGGTTAGACTCTGGCATGCCAGCCAAATCCTGCCCCCAGCGAAAATTGACCCCAAAAAAATTTACTTGTAAGCGTTTAGTGGACTAGTACCGGTGTCGTTCATTACAGTTTTCTCAAACGGCAGACGTCTATTGTCAGCAATTGCAAACCATACTGGGAAAACTAGCTGTTAAACAACCGAGGCTGGTAAATCGCTCTACGCCACTACTACTTCACAACAACGCTAGACAACACACTGCACAACAGACGGCTATCAAATTAGAAGAGCTTCAATTGGAATGTCTTAGACATTCACCGTACTCCTCGGACCTTGCTCCATTATTTTTTGAAATTTGAATAACTTCTTGCAAGGGATAAAATTTAACTCGGATGGGGCAGTGCAAATCGCCTTAAAAGATTTTATTGATTCCCATCCGAATTGTTTTTTTTGTAAGAACCTATTAGATGGCAAAAGTGCATAGATAACAATGGTTTATACTTTGATTAAATTGAAAGTGAGTGCAGGCCTCCCCTATCGCTTTCCTACTAATAAATTGTAAGAAAAGTGGGATGTTCTCTCAATAAGATAATTTATTATACTGCAAACCACTCTTAAAAAACATTCGCAAATGATTTACGACCCTCATCTTAATAAGGATAAGCGCCGGAAGAACAAAGTTTGCATTGTACAATCTTGTAACTCAAGACCTGCCCAACAGTTTTTTACATTTCTCGGTCCCTTCATTTACAATAAATTAAATAAAACCTTAAATATATATCCCATGCATAGAATTGTTAAAAAAAACAAAAAAGTAGTTGTAAAAAAACGGTAACCAAGTAGCTAAAAACATTAAATTATGATGATACTGAGGATTTTATTCTTCCATCATTATAAGGATTTCTTATTGTCCTGTTTTAATTAAACATAAACATATGAGTTACTGAAACTGCGTCAATTTTGTTTGGATTGTTTTGTATTAGTTTTAGGCTTGATACTATTAAGGTATGGAAGTGGGAAAAGAAGTTTTTGTTTGTTTCTTTTTCTTTTTTTTAATCCTATTGATTTTTATTAGGTTAATTAGGCTTTATTCAAATCTAGTATAAATATCCACGGGTGGGAGAACTGGTGACCTGTGTAACGGGTTTTGTAAAAAATACCTATTTCAGGCACCAGCTCTTCACAGTAAGGATTTATACACGAGTCATTGAAATTCCTATATTGTAATTTAAAAAAAACCTATTGTGAAGAGAAAATAAATGAAATGAATAATTCAATAAATATATTATACTAAAAAATTAAAAAATATTTGTCTTTTTGTTCCTCCCATACCAAACACCAATTTCATATGTAAGGACCTAATATAATTTCTAATATGTTGTCTGATACGAAAATAAATACCTACAAGTTTTATATTACTAAATTTACATATTCATAGAAAGCTCAAGTGGCTATATTAGTGAAAAACTATAATAAAATATATAAAGAAACAACTTTTGAACGGTGTCTTCACGTTTGTATTTAGTTTTAGACGTTTCGGACCCTTTTAGTTTTAGACGGTTCCGTGTTCACGTAATCTTATGTGAACACGGTGTACTAAATACAAACGCGATGAAACTGTTTAAAATTTGTTTCATTTTCTATAATAAAATTTAATTTCTTTAAAAAATAAGTTAAATCTTTACTTTCTTATAAAACATATTTGGGCTCCGTTATCATTACCATTTAGTAGCTTAAAGCACTACATCATCGTTAGCCTATTAAAGTCCCTAATGCTGCACAGGTCTGCCCTATGGATGGAATCTTAGCACACCACACAGGGCCAGTGCGGATTGGTGGTTTGTAACGACTGCGGATGCAGTCGTAACTAATGACTTAACGAGGACGTTTGCGGCCCTAAACATATTATATGTATCGCTAGGGCCAATCATATTTATTATTACATAATAAAATTTAATAAACCACAAGAACATTATAATGGAACTTATATACAAGTGCGTCATAAACTAAGTTCCATTGAATGTTAATTTAAAAATCATAGTTAAGAAATATATTTAAAGTACCAAAGTCTACACTGACGAGAATAATTATGAAGGTCATACGACCTTCATAACACCCAAACAACACAATGATACAGCACGATATGATGGTAGTAAGACATGCATGATGAAAATCAACAATTTTTTTAGGCTAGTGAATCTTTATAACCTTGCAAAATTCCGTGATTTATAGATATTTTAATTAATACAAAGAGACTACACATATTTGCACTAAAAATGTAATCCAACAAAGTAAATCAAAAGTTAACCCCATTTTAGATAAACGAAATTTTTAAGGTTCAGTGCAAAAAAACAGATTTGAAATATGGAGCCACGCTTCGGCATGAATGGGCCGGCTCGACCGGAGTGATACCACGGCCTCACAGAAAACCGACGTGAAGCAACGCTTGCGTTGTGTTTCGTCGTGTGAGTGAGGGTACCGGAGGCCCAACCCCTCCCTATTCCCTTCCCTCTACCCCTCAACCCTTCCCTCTAAGGCCGGCAGCGCACTTGTAGCCTCTCTGGTGTTGCAGGTGTCCATGGGCGACGGTAATCACTTACCATCAGGTAAAAAAAAAAATGGAAGAAATTGCTGCAAAGCAATAAGGCCAACATTTGAGTGACTTTCTTATTATTGTAACTTCTCTGTGTTTTATTAAGTGCAATAAAGTGTATTATTACTATGAAAGTCGGGGACCCAAATATGGCCGTAGAATATAAATATTACATCAATATGGCCTCTTTTGAAGTCAGAATATGAAAAAATAACATTTGATACATGGCGATCATTTTTGGAATAATTGACAATAACCTCTCGCACTTCGTCTGTTTTATCTAAAGTTAACAACTGTGAGCATTAAAAGAGTAAAAATTAAAATTACTAACGATATTCTCAAAAGCAAACTATATATTCGCTATTTTAAATACCTATCTACTTTATTTTGTGAAATAACTATATAATAAAGATTAATGACTTAAGTTTTGATTAGACAAGGATTAAAGCCGTGAAGTAAGTAAGATTTCTTTAGCGTTTAGATAATTTTACGTTTTAGCCATAGATATAGCTATGTTAGGTGTTAGGTGACTAGTGACAAAACTTGACCAGTGTACATATAACCTTAAGGTCATCAGGTTTTATCACAAAACCACACAGCTAAGACACTAGTGTTCTAGTGTGGGGGTCTCCAATGGTGACAAAGGTCCGGATACTGACCGCCGACCTATTTTATGCGGATCTTGTGTTAACAATACAAAATAATTATCTCGTTAATATTGTAAAACCTCTCATTCTACTAAAATATTATATTTAAATTATAATATACAACAATGCAACTATTTCATTGATTGCGTTGGCAAGCTCCGAAAACGAAACACGAAACTGTTTCGAAATAAAGATTATCTTTAGAATAGTAAAAATTATATAACGTATCGCTTCTTGTCCAGCTATTTGTATTTCGTGTCAATGCCAAAAGATTTTATTATTATTGAAATTATATTCCACTGCTGGGCACTGCCCGTGCCTATGGATAGCGCCTCACATAGGTAATAACAATTTTTTTTATTTCGCCCGGGAACGCTTTAGCGCTATCCCTGCCACCTGGTAGGATGTGGGCTTCTCCTTCGTGAACCCTCCCCATGGCTAGTCCCCTGTTCGAGATCGATGGGTTCCCTGAGACCTACCAACAAATACCCCAACGGTGTACTATCTTCCGAGAATGAAACGCGGGAAAACGTTACTGAGTTACCATGATACTCACACAATAAATACATAAAAATAAATACCTACTGCCTAAAACACAATTATTATTCCACCGGAAATCATTATTATTTCCTGCTTTATTTTATCGAAACGATACGCAGATTAATAATATAGTATTAGTCACATCATAAATACAATATAATCATTATGTGAAATATATATATAAAATAACAAAAAAAACTGCCTAAAAATAGGACAAATTGAAATGTATGTATATCTTGTATAGTCTTGTATGTTACACAAATATTTTTATACTAAACATAGTTGAATATCGGTATCGAGTCATACCCTATTACATTATACACCTACAAGATAAATATAAACAATATCGATTTTCATGACAATATAAATTAACAACTGTTGAGAACTGCCAAGTCAAAATTGTAAACTGTAGTGAATTTTTTGTGAAAATATTATTTTATTTGTAAACTCACAATTGAGCACCCTTTCCTCCGGTCCGACCTGCGGGAAATGTCTTTGAAACTTCTTCTGGCGCGCTTTGCTCGGTTGTTTGCCATCTGCTGTGTCCGAGTGGGAACCGGCAGAACCGAGAGCGGTAGCACGAACTGAAGGCGCTGACCCCGACAAAGGTTTTAGCACCTGTCTGTGGACAAGGAATAACAAAATTTAGAACATTAATTGCATTCAGTTTTAAAGCATCATCATTAATGTCCCGACTGGGCACGGCCCTTCCTTATTGATAGAATCTAATAGGAAAATGGGCAAGATTGATACCCATCAATCTGCAGTGGGACCAAGTCGTTAATAACCATTAACAACTACAAATGCAGCCGGGACCGACGACTGCCTTCCAAAGCCCGGAGGAGGTCGGGCATAATATGGATGACCAAAAACTTTGGTCATCCATTTTATGCGCGACCCCTGCGGAAGTTACTTAACTTCCATATCGCAGACCGAATGAGCAAACCACTGCGATATCGAACTCCTCGCTTATAAATAAGACACAATGTTAAATTTTTAACGTCGAATTGTTTGTCCTTTTCGTTTAAACAGGCCGCTGAATTCCAAAAGCTTGATAGAGATATAGGATACTTTTGTAGTTGTAGTAACATTTTCGGCAGTATTCCGAGATCATTTATTGAGATTTATGAATAAACGCCTAAACTTTCAAACTACTAGACCCATTTATTTTTACATATTAGAAACAGTGGAATTAGCTTTAGGCATGTGATATAATAACACAAATATCGAGAAATAGAGTATACTGGAAGGAATACATTTCAATCTAGGCTTTAATTGAGATTATAATGAGATGTAAACTTTTTTAGGTGAATTGAAATTCTATCTAGGTTAAAACACTCCTATAAAATTTCAAAAGATAACCACTCGTTCACACACATGTATTTTATGAATACAAAGATGTAGGTAAGACAAACTCGACCATCGTCGGCTCATATAACTATAGTAGGTAGATATATTTAAAATAAGTTAGGCCACTCGAATTGTTTCTTGAGCATATTTACTTTAAGGTTTAACTTTGGGTAAAAAAGAGGAAGAATCGATGACCTCTTTACCGCCTGATGAGTAAAATTAATACATAGAAATCTATATACGAATAAACAAAATATTTAAATTCTTGCATTCTTGCCGGTTTTTGGATTTTACGTAAGAACTATCAAGATCCACCCTAGATGGTTGGCGTCTTAAGAGTTTCTAAATTGCATCGATAAAAGAAATAATTAAAAGCCTCCGATCAACAAAATAGTTAATGCCTAGTTTTTTTGACAGCATGAGTGGTAGAAAACCAAACAAAATTATTTAAATGTTAAACCACAGAATTGCAACATTAAGACGCAGGTTGTTATCATCAGAGCGCTTAGTGTTAGTTTTTTTGACGTTTACGTTCACGGTCGTTCGTGAGCGCGTTAAGATTTTAATATGGCATCCAGTACAGTTATTATAGATTCAACAGTACTTGTATTAGCCTACTTGAATAAAGATATTTTCATTTCATTTCAGTGCCCCTAGCGGTAACTACCAAGAACTATAAGTCCCCATACAAATTCTTAACGCGCTCACTCATGAACGCGTTCGCGTAAAAAATTACACTTACCACTTTGGACCTGAAATAGGGGAAATCGAGTACGCAATTGGTCCGAGCGTGAGTATCAGCGGGGCCGAGGCACCAAATACATCATAATTCAGCGAAAAAATATCTATACTATTACTCTATACATATAACATAAATTTTATTTACTTACTTTATAATGCAGCATATAGGTACTACCCATCAATTATATATGCGTATATTAAAGTATTCCTTGTGTTGTACAATACAGTGCTCATTCATTAATTCAATATCACAGAAGTATATTATGGATTGCAATTTTAAACTTTAGTCACCATCAAGGTTGCTACCTATTAGAAATAAATTTCGGTACATTTGAAAAGAAATTACGACTAATTGCATGCATCATAGGAAAAATAAAATAAGAACTTCATTTTGTATACTTCTTATTTCTAACTATGCTAAATCAGGGAGCGGCAAACGCGAAATCATAGTAGAATTTTAAGATGCAGATTGCACCGAGGCGAGACCTGTATAGGGATATCTAAGGCGCGAAATGAGCGATTGTCGAGTATTATTAAAATCGGTACAAAATTAATAAGAAATCGGGATGCGGGACTATCTCATTAAAATCGTGATTGTTCCGGAAAAATCGGGACGGGTGGCAACCCTGGTCACCATGAAACCTAGACTGCATATAAAAAAGACATAAAATAACTTAAATATCGACAAGTGCACGTGACGCGGCATGCTTTGTCCTTGTTTGTCTACAATGTTATTGAATTTTCCATAAAAATAAAGTTGCATGAAATATTTGATACTTACTTTAAGGACAATGCGATAAATATATAATATTTAAAAGAATCGTCTTGTATCTCTCGGTTTTAAACTTAGCCCTATGTTTCTGCTAGGGTTGCCAACCACACTGTAAAATAGAATGTCATACTCTATATTATGAATACCAAGAGCACATTACTCTATAATCTATTTTAAAATAAGGACGCTTAAATATTATGTTTTACACAATGTATTTACGCATATGTATGATATAAACATACCTTCTTCTGTATACTCTACTTCTTCCAATAAAAGTAGGCAACCCTATCCCTACACTGAGAATATTAATAGGTTAATGATGATGTTAAAACATTAAAGGAAAATTGAGACATTCTACATTCATATACAATCCGTTACACGCAAAATGTAGTATTTTTTGTGATTTTCAAAAAGTACTATTATTTCTCTGACTTAACCTAGTGTTATCTTATCTACCTTTCATTTTTTTATTTTTAATTATTTACTCGTAACGACATTATGTCATTTAAGCTCATTTGGATATCACAATATATTTGTTTATAAAGAAACTCGGAAAACTCAACAACTTCCGCCAAACGATAGCCACTAAATTTACAAACAACTATGTAGCCAACCACAAAGTCGATACACAATTCAACCAGACGAGCTAAAACTTGAAGATCTTGAACAATCAAAACTGATTATTATACATACGATATGTCAGAACACGAATAACAGTATTCAAGACGATACGAGGTCACCTTAACGATTTATCATTGCATCTGATATTTTAATTTTCCGGTAAACACTGAACTTTTATTCTAGAAGTTTACTCGAACACATTAACTTTTTTATATATAAGAAACATTAATATAGTTAGATATATAGAATAATCTTTATTGTACACATACATTTAACTTACAATTTCAGTTGTAGAAAGAAGACACCTATTATGGTGTGTGTAATTTAAGGTGCTGATAATTATATAAGGTGCTAATAAATTAATAACAAGTTAAAAGAACGTTCTTCCATTGAAACAATTAAGTTAAAATTGAAATTAAGTTCAACTTTTTGTGTTCGTTGAACAAACAAAATAATTATAATTATGTCTAAATATAATTAACATTTTTATTTATTTAATATTTATTGCAATACATCAAAGTAGTACTAAATGTCATACACTGTGTATGTATGGCATACAGCATTCTCTACCAGTCGATCAGTAAGACTATCTAATAGAAATCACTGTGAGTGTAACAAAAATATAGAAACAAAGAATAGCTTCAATAAAATGACATATTTTAATTAAATCTTTAATTTTAGCATTTTCTGTCATATCAAAAATGGTTTGTCTTAATATTATCATTAACTATTTGATTTAACAACGTGAACTAACCAGTAAATAATTAAAAAAGTTCATTCGATTTCAGGCTATCAACAGGATGTTCTTACGTAGCAAATGTTTCCAGTTTTCAAAAAAGTCACAAGCCGAAATAATCTTTATTCAAATAGACTTCTTAAAAATACTTTTGTATATTCCAGTATTTTTCCCCTATCATTAGTTCAGGACAAACCTGACGACTAAAACCTATAATGATTCTATAAAAGGTAACTAATTTGTTAACAAACTACATATATATCTATACTAATATTATAAAAAGGTTAAGTTTTTATTTTTTTTGTATGTAGTGTATAATTTTCAGAAATACTGATCCGATCATGTAATTTCCACGGGACTACATCTATGTGGGTAACATAGGCTTACTATTTACGTGTACGAAGTCACCGAAAAACGGCTAGTAATAATATTATAGGTATTAAAAATATCACATATCGTTCAGATCCCAAGGTAATTAGCTTAAAACCGTCATATTATGGAAATAATGATAAAGGAAAGCAGCACAACACCGAGACCTGAGACAATATAATAAGTTCACTTCCTATACGAATATGATTCAACTGGAAATTGAACCAGGGACTTCAAAGAGGACACTTTGGAATCAGCGTGCGAACCACTCGATTCCTGAGGTCACTAAAAATGGTATACAATACAACCAGTTCAGCATTATATTTCATCTATCACCCGGTTTCTGAATTAAGAATTTAAAGCTAAGCACGTCTCATTTCAAACGCCACTTAAACAGATCAAAATGTTTTTTACCTATTCAAATATAATAATAGCTGTTTACTTGCGTATGATGTAGTTTCCAGGAGATGATTTGTTTTTTAAATCGGTTTCGGACCAATCAAATCTTTCCTCTTCATGGTATTAATTATTATTGCTATTATTGCCAAAACTTTTTTCACAGCTTTAGCTGATTGCCTACATTTTACTGTTCATTATTTTTATCACTTATATCTCGTTTACCTTTACTCTCAAATAGTCCATAAAACAGCAACAAATTAAAGATTTAGATTAACAAAATGTGACCGCTACATGTAATCAGTGTCTTGTCACTGTTTAATCAATCCTAAAAATATTATAAATGCGAAAGTTTGTTAGAATGTATATATGTTTGTTACTGTTTCACGCAAAACTGAACGGATTATAATAAAACAGTAAATCAGCAGTTTAGTGTAGCACATTCTCAAGAACTACAATTAAGAAAGTATTTTTTTGCTAGCCTATGCTAACACGTATGGAACACTTCATAGACGAGTCCGATCCGCACTTGTCTTTTTTTTAAACTAATAACTGGATAGGATTGACAATAAACGAACTACATGATGTTCATGTGAACGGAAAAAGGTATTAGTGCGATGTAAACATAAACAAAAC